TAAGATAAAAACGAGATTTTACTCAATAAAAAATGATTATCTTTCATTGATGTTTTTTGTAATCTGATACTTATCTAAAAAAAGATATATAATAGAATCTTTATTATAAATAATAACAAAAGCAAATCTTAATCGATCATATACAAATCTAGCCAAACCATAAAAAGATGCATTCACCATTATTGAATAGTTATATTTTTATTTGTAAATTAATGATATGTATTACAGTGCTTATAGCATTGCATTCTCATCATTGGATGCAAGACGATGATGGAAGAAATCATCACGGTTTGAATATATAATTTTTTTTCTTTCCATTTTTAATTGGAATACCTTATTCTATTAATATAGGACTTAAAAAAAGGTGCTATGAATACGGCAGTAGATGCTATGAAGATAACCATATTCAACGAAAAATCTGGCTTTATCTTATAATTCCTATACTTAATGTTGTAATTGAATCATCAAATATTCTTCTTCTCTTATGTACGCGAAGTCGATCTCGTATTAATTTAATTTTAGGTAAGTTTTAGAAAAATGATAGATTAATAATTCTCTTATCTTTTAGAGGAAATCATGCTTGTAACAAGTTTGGTGTTTGTAGTACCAAATATTTTTATTATTGCCGTGATTTGTATACATGCTAGTCTTAAATATGAAGAAATAGATTGGTCAATGAAAATATATGTCATATCAGTAATATTGTGTCTTATTGATTTCGTATGTTCAATAGTTCGTGTGGTAAATATTCTTAAAAGAATAATAATTAATGACATTTTTTAATTCTTTTAAGGTATCATATTGTCGTCATAATTCCTTTCGTTCACATCCAGTAACATATACATCAAATAGTAATCATGAAACAATTAATATTCAATCCGAATAATACTATCATTGCTTTTTCTATTTCTTTTTTTATCTTGAAAACTCCATCGTATAGTTGATAAAATGTAAAAAAATATAAATACAAGAAAAGAAAAAAGTAAAAATCTATTTTCTATAAACAGATAATGATTAATAATAAATATAAAAAAAAACTTGTGAATAATTTATCATTCATTTGGTGTTGTCTGAGGTTTTAAAAATATCTCAGCGTAAGATGGAGGCATTGCTGAATAGACAGATGGAGTTATAGTAGACAAAGGTTGATGAGTATTTGTTGTTGTACGAACAGGTAATTGGAATGGAATTTGTTGTCTTCGCGTTTGACCAATTGAACTGTCATAAGATGGTGGTGATTGTTCGAGTACAGGTGGTGGTTCACGGGAACGACGTTGTTGTTGTTCGTAACGATTTGCACGTGTAACATCGATTACATAAGCATCATGTAGTTGTCGTTCAGATCGATGTTCATATTCATATGATGAAGAACTATCTATAAAAAATAAAAGATTTTTATTCCATCTCAATGATTTTTAAGTATTTCAATTAAAAGAAACGTAAAAATCATACTTCTTTGATGTTGTAATTTTCGATCTCTTTTTCGATGGGCACAATAGGCAATTGCACAAATACTAGTAGCAATGACTGCAGGAATAATGACGCATATTGAACTTAAAAAAAGAAACTTTTTGATGTAAATATTTTGTTTCAAAAAAAGATTCTTATTACTTACATAATTAATGCTGTAGTATCTATTTCACCATTCGACATATTAATACTTTATTAGTAAATAGTTGTTATCTACATACGAAATACATGAAGTATCTATAATTAACAATAAATATGTTTGAATAAGAGGGAGAAAAAAAGAGCAGAGTATCATTGAGAGTCATAAAAAAAAGGCATCAGGTCATTATCAAACGAGGCAGAGGTGTAACGGAGAAAAATGTGTGACATTGTATAAGAATTTTTTTATACAGAGGCCTACCTCAATTTCTTCATTTTTTTTCTTCTTCTTCTTCTTGTATGGTAAAAAAAAAAGTTGGCGAGGTGAAGAGTCTTACAATAGTAGCAAGGCCAAAAGGTAATCATCAGCCATTTACAGGCTTGTATACACATGTATTTATAAAAGTACAGAACATGTTCCGTTCTTTTTCTTTCCCCTTGTGCACTTTTTTTTATCAACATTTCTGCTATGATTTTGTATAAAAGCGAAAAAAAAAACTCGAACAAGACTTAGTTACCATTGCATCTTCTGACATATGACTTCGGTTTTTATATGATGTCATTCGTGAAATATTCAATGTTCATTAATAAAAAGATGAAAGTTTATATACGTGTATCTACAGAGAAACCATTTAAGAAAGAAAGAAGAAATCTAAATGTAATATGTCGACAATGAAATCTGTAAATGAATATAGATTAAATAACAGAAGTTAATGAGTTTCTTTAGATAAATGTCAGTTTTACTTGACATTATAAACAAAATATGAAAGAATAAAAATAGACAAGCCCATACAAACCTTGTAAAATTTTTTTTTTGTAATTTATATAATCAAAACAGTTCGAAACTATTATAATCCTAGATAGATGTTTTGCATTTTTTTTCTCTTCATAATAATAAGATCAAACACGTAAAGAATGAAAAAACAAAACAAAAGACAGATTAGTGAGAAATAAAAAAAAGATAGATATTCTTATTCGATAGTTCATATTCGAAATAGAATAACTGAGAAAAATGTTATGATTAATAATGATTTTCTTTGAATATAATCACTAGTACCAGAACCAAATGGTA